AATTTTATTGAATGTAAATTATATCTTAATAAAGCTGTAAAACAAATACACTATTCAGTAGCATGACTGAGGCAATAGCCTGGAGACTGAAAAAGGTAATCTTCCCATCAAAGAGCAGATCCATCAAATACAACTTACTGCAAACCCTAGCTCTTCCAAGAAGATATTAATGTGAATGCTGAATATATAACTCATCACACATATGGCATGAATTCCATCAAAACATAGTAGATCAACCTAAACTGTCAACACACAGAAGGACAAATAAGGCATTTAACCCCTTGGCTATGCAGTCATACATCTCCTTATATGTTAACTGAATATTTCCTTAAATGCTCACTCATCAAATATTTGTACAGCTGTCTAGACTTTCATGTGTAAGCCATTATGGCCTTTATACCTTCAACTATAAATTTCCTGGAAGACAGAGACAGAGGTGGTGAACTCCACACATGTCCAACACGTCAGAGCCGGGCCACAGAAGTCCAGGCTTATGAGTGACAGCCCCCAAAGTGGCCCTTTGATTCCACCATATTACGTGACCACTATGGGCTCTTCCTGTTGCTAAGAAAGGAAACATGTTAACAGTTACTGATTCTCATACTATTTTGGGCCACGTGCTAACACGGGCATGTACCAAAATAAAAAGGTTAACGATCCAATTCATCTGCGGAGAATTAACATTGCTTTCAAAAGTATTCCCCAAACAACCCAACAGTTATGAGGTCAACTGAGCCTATCCTTAAACTTAAGCAAAATAAATTAAAACAAAACCATAATACAAAAATATCATTTACCTACTCTCATCCCACTATCCCAAAACCACCAGAAACAAAGAATTATTAGGATATTACAGGAGGTGTTTTAGGGACTTCTCAGAATTCAGACATACTGGATGTTTTTTTCCCACAACCTACATACAAATTGCAATGCTTCATGTGCTAGTAGCAATTATCAATCACTCAGATGACCTGGTCCCTTCTCAAGACCTGGCACTCCACTCACAAGGGAAGACTTTCCTCACAGGGCTCATTTAGAAGGCGCTCCTCTCAAAGACAGCTCTATTTTGCTGAAGAACAGTCCTTCACAAGATGTCTGATGTACAGCATTGGAACTACTGCCTGCAGTAGTTTTCTGCCAAGTTGAGTTAAATACAAAGATGCCTAGATGGAGACAGCACAATTTTAAAAAGGAGAGTTCTCTACCTGACTAAACAGTTGGCCCCCTAACAATCTTAAGCCTTTTGGGTTGAGATCTATGATCTTGATATCAGAAAATTAAGAACTAAATTTTTCTCCCAAGACTAACTCAACTTCTAAGGCGTTCCCTTCATTCTAAAACCACAAGTAAAGGGACGTCTTCCCAAACAAATGTGAATTCCTTTATGCTTGGCAGGCAGCAGACCCTCGCATACTAACTAAGGCAGTACACCTAGGTTCCCCTATAATAATTCATTCCTACAGCAATCCTCTACAGAAAGATAAAGCATTTTCATTTATTCCCAACTAGAAAAGCGTTTATAAATAAATGTGTTAATTCTCCTCTATTTCCCAAATAGGAGTCTGCAAACTTTTCCATAAAGCATTAAATAGTAAAAATGTTTTAGGCTTCATGACCCATAAGCAGCCACTCAACTCTGCCACTGTTGCATGAAAGAAGCCACAGTCATTATGTAAATAAATGGGCATGGCTGTGTTTCAATAAAACTTTATTCACAGAAACAGGTGGAGGATCGGATTTAGTCAGCGGTTTACTGACCCCTACACCCTGGAATAACAGCCATTTGGAACTAAAAAGTAAATTGCAGATCAACAGCACCCCACCAACCCCTGCCCACCTTGTTCTCTAAGGAGAAATAAAGATATTTGCTCAAAGCCATATTACTCTTTTGCTGGTTTGTTCACAGGCATGATCTTCTGAAATAGGAAAAACAATAAAAATGGCTGCCTCATTCTTTTACCCTGTTATCAGGTTTCCTGGAGGTCAACAAATCATACTGACCTTGGGTGAAGGTTGTTTTTTAATTTTTAACATGATAGTGTCTAACCACTGACTGATCTTCTTTAAACACTTATGACCCACCTAGCAGTATAAAACACTTTGACCTGGTAATTTTGTAATTACCATAAACAGAAACCACACACATTAAGAAGTTTCCTTTCCTCTTTTCTTCCTTAGAGTTTTAAGTTCACTGGGAAATCCACTCTATCCAAGCAAACTAAACCAACAATCACTTCTGCATAATTTTCCCCCATTCATTTTTCTACCAAAGTCTAAAAACAACTTATTTTCTCTGCCAATATATCCTTCCTGTCTTTAAAACCTATCTGAAAACTCCTCCTCATTCAGGTTTCAGTTGAGAAGAAGGCGGACTCCTCCACGAGGTATTTCCTCATTGTTTTACTCCACTCCAATTATTTTTTGCTCCACTTTCCCTTGGAGAATTCCATACTGCACATACTAACCTGAAATTATATTTGTTCCTTTATGTTGCTTTCAGATCTTTTATTTTCCTGTATTTGGAAACACAATATATTAAAAACTTTAAGAGGGCAGGTACAAGCTTTTTTGCCTAGCCACAGTCTATTAGCATTTTCACTGCTCCTGGAACATAAATAGAATTCCCTAACTCTGATCCCTTAAAAATGATACTTTTTTTTTTTTGAGACAGAGTTTTACTCTTGTTGCCCAGGCTGGAGTGCAATGGCACGGTCTCAGCTCACTGCAACCTCTGCCTCCCAGGCTCAAGCGATTCTCCTGCCTCAGCCTCTCGAGTAGCTGGGATTCCAGGTGCCCGCCACCAAGCTCGGCTAATTTTTGTATTTTTAGGAGGGACGGGGTTTTGCCAAGTTGGTCAGGCTGGTCTTGAACTCCTGACATCAGGTGATCCACCTGCCTCAGCTTCCCAAAGTGCTGGGATTATAGGCGTGAGCCACTGCCCTTGGCCAAAAACGGTTCTGTATTTGCCCTTTACCTGCAGTGTGGAAGAAGTGTGCACATACATCTGAATAGGACACTTTTCCTACATTCTACTGTATCTACCACATGAAGACAAATTATAGAATATTAATTATTTTGCTTAGAATTTTAATGTTTTCACATTAGCTTCCCCGAAATATTTTTTAAGCCTTCATGTCTGAAATTTCAACTGTTAGGCAGAGATTCCCACTTAAACACTGGCATTCTCCACTTTAAGTAAAACATTTCTACTTCCGACTATACAACAAAGCAAATCACGTAAGCAAACGTCTTGGATGAGACGACTATTCTTTCTTTCTTGAAGAGCTTGGAAATTCCCTAGTCTGTTTGTGATAGCAAATCTAACTTGGAGTATTATGTACACATACAACTTGAAATAGATTCTGAACAATTAAAGGCTTAAGGAAAAAAATCCTTCAAATTCTGACCTCCTAAATAACCTCAGCTCTATGTGCTATGCTTAGCAAGCTTTTTTTTCATTAACTGGGATGGAGAGCATTTCCAAACTCTTACTAATCAAGAAAGAACTTTCTACTATCAACATCAGCAAGTATAAGCATGATGGTTAGGAGCAAAAGCACTGCAGACTCCTAGCTGAGTGACCCTGGGCAAAAAGCAATTTCTGTGCCTCATTCCCACATCTATAAAATGGGAATCATAATAGTACCTGTCTCAGGTAGCTGTAGGAATCCAATGAGCAGACATGAAAAGCACTCTGAACAAAGCCTAGCAAAGACCTGTGGAAAGGTTTGCTCTTTTTATCATCATAAAACCTACATAAAACCACCTCCCAGGTTGCAGTGAGCTGAGATCGTGCCACTGCACTCCAGCCTGGCAACCAAGCAAGGCTGTCAAAAAAAAAAAAAAACAAAAAAAACCACACCTCCCTCTTGCCACTGGCCCTTCCCATCTGTCAAATGAGGAGGCTGAACTAAATGATCCATCCTTCCTGCTGTAAAATGCGTGTATTCTCTCAGAGAGGCGCATAAGAAGCCAGCAACATATGAGAGTGCCTTGGTTCACTACTGGCATGGCTTAACCAACCACATTCCAAGTCCCTGTGTATCAGCCCAGTTAATTTTTCTCTTTAATATCTTAAAACTGTCAAATACTGCCCTAATCACATACTTCAACTATTTCCATGTGGATACTATAACTACTAAGCAGTCGTATGCTCATCCTATCTTTTTCTTCACTGGAAAATCTGAAAGAGTTTGAAGATAAACATACATAAGCACAGTTCAAAGTAGGAAATACTAAGCATGTTTGGTTAAATTCATACTCTACTCACATAGGCACACAGAAATACTGTGGACAGAAACAGGTGAGGACCACAGAAATCAAGCTCAGTATTAAGTGGGTGTAACTCGTAAACAGTATGGTTCCATTCATGCTTAGGGACTGCTATCTAATTACAATAGTAGTCAACCATTTGGTTATCACTTCCTATTTTTTCAATACCTTGCATCACAGCACAGCCTTGGAATATTTTCTAGAACACAATTCATCATAGAAAATTTCTAAGAACCTTCTGGCCATTTCTCATTATAATTAAAAAAAAAAAAAAAAAATCAAAATCAATATAATTCTACACCAAATGTAAGCCTAAAGCCTCATGGTCAAAAAGAGCTTCTTTCTCAAAGAATGACTTGAGCACTGAGAAGAAGGTCTCTATTGGTTACAAGTTTTTGTGCTATAGTGAACAATGGTTACAGTATAACAGCATTACCTGTAATGAGCAAAGGACTAATATGCAGAACACTGCAAAAAAATGTTTTTAAAGATTTAAATGTGTAAACAACAAAGTAAAGCACTTATTGATTCATAAAATATTTTCCTGCATAATACAAGAATCAATTTTAGCCCAGACTTGCTTAAATAATCACTAGTTTAAATTTGAAGCTTAAAATGTTTTTCTATGATAGGAGATTTTATACAAATTATGTATTTTTCTATTCTCTGGTAAGATAAGGTTGTACCTCATAAGAACATATTTTGCACAAAGATGTTCTAAAATAAAGTCATTACTCTGGTTAATCATATTATTACATTTTGTATTTGCTTTTAAAAAGAAACAAGCATTTGGCTAACATTAATAAGCATTCAGAAAGCATCAAATAAGCTCTCAACATGAGCTGAAAATAATTATCCGCAAAAAAAAAAAGAGGAGGCCTGCTATGTTAACTCCATTTTCATATTTTTATCCTCAAACTAAATAATGTCAGCGATTTACACGACAGCTCCTAATAACTTTTTCACCCATATTAACAAAAATTAGTTTTTAAATTATCACTTATTTCCTTTCTAGCTACAGTATAGAGAATTTCTTTTGTTTTTGTTTTTGAAATAAACCATGGGGTTGTTTCCACGACAAGATTTCTGATTTTTCAAATGTTAAGGCTGTCAGCATGGAACTGCTGACCTAACATCCAAATGTGAAAAAAACGATGCTTAAACAGCTGGAATTCCATCTGAAAATGATCAAAATTAAACCTACTCCACTTATAAACTAAACAAGATAATCCCTACATAACAAGTAAACCTAAGATTTTATTCATGGTAGTAGACTTTGTAAAACAACCACTGGAGTAGGCCCACAACTGATAGCAAATGAAAACATTCATCTTAATCAGATTAAATCTGCAACCCCAGCTGAGCTTCTCTTCCATCACACAGAAGCGGAGAAGGGGACAGAGAGATGGCTGCCATCTTGGAACCTAAGGGGAGCACTTCACTTCAATCCCGCAGGATCTATGATACCAACATTTTTTTAAAAAGAGTTCCACAATAAAATAGAAGCCCTCAGAACCTGTTTCTTGAGAACTAAATGAAGACAAATACTCTGCTTAGCCTCATCTAACACTGTCAAAAAATGAGGTGAGGCTTGAATGAATTTAAGTGGAAAAATGGAAGGAGCAGCACATCGGGTAAGAATATTCCTTTCCAAATTATTTTTTGCACTGACCTCTCTCCCCCCAGAGCCCAAGCCCTGAGTAGTCAGAACAAGAATGTGACGTGTCAGTAACCAATGTTGAGCACATGAGCAGCCTACTGTGCATTTACAGATTGTATATAGATATTCCTGTTTCCGGTGTTTATGAAGCATATGGAACCCAGGAGTTTGACATAAACCAGTTTTTTATGGAAAGCAGTAGCTCTCCAGATTGAGTGTGTACCCGGTGTCCGGCACTGCGGCAAATGCTTACATTCGCCATTCATCTCATCTTCACACATCATCTCCATTTTACACACAAGGAAACAAACCACATAGCCAGTCAGCGACAGCATGAGGCCAAACTCTTTACCTTTATAACCATTAAATGTACCAAAGGCATAAACTATAGAAAATCTGTATATGAAGTAAAATTTCATATAAAAGTTAATAATACCCACCTGATTTATCTGTTCAGGCAATTAAAATTATCACAAGTTTTTAATCAGAAGCTACCAAATATTGGAAGAAGCATTTCCTACTCAAGTTCAAAAATGTAAACAAATTTCCTGAGTGTAAATCATCTCAACCCCTCTAGTTTGCTAAAAAGTTAACACAACCAGGCCGGGCAAAGTGACTCGTGCCTGTAATCCCAGCTCTTTGGGAGGCTGAGATTAGAGATTACACCCTCAAGTGATCCAAGGGTGGATCACTTGAGGTCAGAAGTTCAAGACCAGCCTGGCCAACATGGTGAAACCTTGTTTCTACTAAAAATACAAAATTAGCCAGGCATGGTGGCACACATCCCAGCTACTTGGAAGGCTGAGGCAGAACCACTTGAAGCCGGGAGGCAGAGGTTGCAGTGAGCTGAGATCACGCCATTGCACTTCAGCCTGGGCAACAAAAACAAAACTCCGTCTCAAAAAAAAAGTTAACACAACTAAATATTCTTTTGTTGTGCACAGATGACCAAAATGGTCTCTTCTGACATATTATAAACCCACTAAGATAACAGACCTGAAGAATGATTATCATGTAATATCGTTAAGTACAAGAAGGCACATTGGACACAAGCAAAGGAGACCCAGGGCACGTCTGTGGAGGGGAGGAGGGAATCTGACAAGAGAAGAGAACAGGAAATGCGGGGGAAAAAAACCTCAAAGAGGAGGTGAAATCTTCAGCAGAGACAGCTCCCATACAAAGTAAACAGCAGAAATGGAAATGGAAACGGAGAAGAGGTACCTTCCAGAAAGATGACCAAGCAGAGAAATACTGGATTTGCATGCTGAGCTCCTGAAATGGCAAATAACTATGCACAAGATGCCACAGAGAACAAGAAGGTCAACTGTGGAAAGTGACCCCACGTGTCCATCAAGGCCATGATCTGATCACCTTCCTCAGCGCTACTTCTCACATTTTAAGAAATCTGGACCAGGGACAGTGGCTCGTGCCTGTAATCCCAGCACTTTTTGAGGCAGGTGGATCACCTGAGGTTAGAAGTTCGAGACTAGCCTGGCCAACATGGAAAAACCCTGTTACTACTAAAAATATAAAAAATTAGCCAGCTGTGGTGGTGCGCGCCTGTAGTCCCTGCTACTCAGGAGGCTGAGGCAGGAGAATCACTGGAACCTGGGAGGCAGAGGTTACAGTGAGCCAGGATCACACCACTGCACTCCTGCCTGGGCAACAGAGTGAGACTGTCTTGAAAAAGAAAAAAAGAAAGAAAAAAAAAAAAAGAAATCTGGTTCTCGGACCAGAAAAGAGTTCTCATTTGGCAGGGTGTTCACAGCCAAATGAACTCAACCAATAAAAATGAAAAACAGCTACACCAAATTTTCAAAATACATTTTGCAAAAGGTTAATACTTAGTATTTTCCACACCGGCTTCCAATCTTAAAGGAAATGAGGCTTTGAAAGCTTAGGCCCAAATACAACTAAAATAGGTAACACTTCTTTTCTTTTTTTCCAAAGCTTTGAAACATATCCGCAATAATGAGTGGCAAAACACAAACAGACTCCTTTATCACAACAGAGCTGCCATGGAACCCCCTGCAAGTCACCAACTCTTCCATTCCACGTTCCCCAACAGTCCAAGCGAAGGCCTGAGGAGGTGGTGGAGACAACCCCTCCAGAGAGCAACAATGAGTAAAGAATGATGGCTGGGTGACACGGTGAGTTGACACTGCCCCACTGCCCGGCTGTCAGCTCACCAAGAGCATGCGGAGCAGCCACCCTGTGCAGTCAGGTGTGATCCTTCTCCATGGAACCTAGGACAACATGCTAAACCTTTCTTCTGAACACCAAGTGCTTCTCTCATGCTCCTTCAAAATTCTTCAACCTCACAAAGAATGTACGTCAGTGTTAAAACTGCACCCATACGGTTTCCCACAGATGGGAAATAGGCATGGAGAACTGATTCTATCTGGTTTACTGGGCCAAGAGTGAAGAGACTGAATTCAACAAAACCGCAGTCACCCATCAAATCTGACACTGTCTCATTATGTCCCCAATTTGTCTCCTGCCCTTCACCTAACAATTCTTCTTATACCTTTTCTACTAAAGAACGTCTAAGAGCAAAGAAGTATACATTCCATCTCCTTATGAAAGCACTCTATGCAGGCCTAATTTTCAAATCCATGCAAACTTTCTATACTCTTCCACAACAGATCCTAGTATTGTACATTTTTATACCTGTCTAATACTTCACTATGTATATATGTGTGTATGCACAGACAAGTATATGTATTTTTCCTCAAGCAACATTCATGTTCCTAAAAGACACGTTGCCCTGTGGCTTTGTACATCCATAGGGATATATCTATCCCAGCAGGAGAACCAAGAATAAATCAAAGAAAGATTATATTCTAAGATGTGAAACTGCCATGGAAGCATAAAAAAATATAATTTGAGAAAGTATAAAGTATCTATGTTTTAATACTGACTTAATTACCAAGCACAAGACAAATATTTCACAAACTTATTTCCCCAGGAAGACTCAAAAGAGGCAATGGGGGCTGGGCGTGGAGGCTCACGACTGTAATCCCAACACTTTGGGAGGCCAACGTGGGTGGACCATAAGATCAAGAGATCGAGACCATCCTGGCCGACATGGTGAAATCCCATCTCTACTAAAAATAGAAAAATTAACTGGGTGTGGTGGTGCACCTGTAGCCCCAACTACTCCAGGTGCTTGAACCCGCGGTGCCGAGGTTGCAGTGAGCCGGGATCACACCACTGCACTCCAGCCTGGCGACAGAGTGAGACTGTCTCAAAAAAAAGAGGCAACGGGTTTCGTGAAAACTCCTGAGCTGCCCGCAGAAACAGCGAGGGCAAGCTGGGCTGTGACGCCTCTTCTGGTCTCCCAATTTCCTCTCCCCACATTTCTTATCTTATCGTATTAGAGATGTCATCTAGTAAACCAAAGCAGTGGATCACAAGTAGGGCAAAACAAACCTGATATTCCAAACTGTCACAACGAGACAGAAGAGAGCCGCTCAAAAATTAATCTCAGTAGCTGACGGTTACCTGCTTACTTTCACCCCCACGTCCTTCCCAGTGCTAGGGTCCTCATAGACACTGTGAGAAGGAGAGCAGAAGTTTCCAGATGTCACCGCTTAGCACCATCTCCTCTGTGCCTCTGCTTACTCAGGGTTATCCGGGAGGACCCAGAGCTTCACTGCCATGACCTGCTACGGAGTGAGCTACACTGGCTCAGAAGCCACCTCTTCCCAGAAGTCTTCCCCAGACCCATCAGAAGTCCCACTGAGGGGGCTTTAGTATGCTTTCTGCTGCTAATCTACTTCAATCTTTTCTTTAGTGGCTGAGAGTTCTTAACTACCTTCGTCAAGAAACCTTCTAGATGCTCACAGACAAGTCAGACCCAATTGATTTCAAGTTCTTTTTGAAAACTCTAAAAATATCTTAATTTCAGGAAAGAAGCAAGTGTTCTTATTAAAACTGTTAACTCCACATATGAAATGTAGGCTCAAACTTGAGGGCCTTTCCTGATCTGATTCCTCCTCATTCTCCCACTCCAATCGCCTGCCTCTCTGTCTCCCTCCTGTCCCTTCTGAATAGAACTTCTTATGCTCTAGAAATGGAGAATAATTTAAAGTTGCTTAGAGTCCCCAGGTTACTTCACAAGCTCCTACCCCAGGATGAAATGCACACGCTCTGCCTTGTCAGCTTCACAGACAATTTCCCAGCATGAAGAACCAAATCCAGGTGTTAATGTCCTTTCACTAAATCATCATTCTGCTTGACTCCAAACTGCCCCCACTACAATGGGGACAAAATATGGCTCCCTACCTCTGTGGAATCTCCATACGGTTCATTTCTCACCATGGCACATAATTATATGTTTACCTATCCCCTCCTCAACTCCATACTCCTTTCGGGATCTGTGTTTTATCATCATTTTATCCCTATCACCAGAACAGTGCTTTTTGAAGGTGGTAAGAAACATGTGCTGAGCTGAACATTTATTTGATATAGATAGGAAAAGAGCCTACGGTCTGCAAATCTGCATTTCTCAGGACAGTCATTTTATCTAGAATATTATGAATATATATTTTAAATATGAAAAATGTTACTGTGTTTATTATGACCTAATAAACAATATCTTCAGATCAATGCATGTGTTCATTCCTTCAACAAATATTTGGGCTGCCATTAGCTGCCAGGCATGTGCTGGGCTACGGCCGCTGCTCATCAATATGCTGCACTTGTCCAAACTAGAACAGGGTGCCCTCCCTGGACAGATAAAGTAGGGCCCGTGTCTCCAAATGCCCACCTCAGCTGGCACCCTTGGGTGTGGAGGCTTTTCCTACAGTAATGAGAATGAGTCTCTAGGGAGTTCAGATTCTAGGGAGGGAGACAGGCAAACACACATTCAATTTTCAATATTTTCTTTATGACTCTAAAAAAGTCGAATTCCCACATACTACACTTAATGTTGTCATCTAAATCTCCACCTCATTGAACACTGGTTACTACAATCATCAATTTGAACTTGGGTTGAGGCATCCACCTATGGCAACAGAGATTTCTAGACAGGAAACAAGCACAATTTCCAGATTCACACAGGCCATTAAATTGACTGCATTTTGAAATTGCCTTATGGTGACTAGCCAGATTGGTTTCACCAAGAAACATTTCAAATTAATCTACCTGATTTTTGAGTCACTTCTCCCCTACATACGCTTCAAAAACTTTTATTCTATAATGGTAAATATTTCATTAAACACCATACTTAGTTGGAATTATGTGCTTTAGTAGTTTTTTTAACACGGCTACCTTCTTATCTCCTGAAGTAAAATATAAAAGATAGCTGCTATTTACCATTGATAAAACACATGAGATCAATACAAATCTTTTTAAACAAGAAGCTAGAATACACTTACTTTTCTACTGTTAAAAGTATTCGTGGTTGGTGGAAAACACACACTTTTCTGTCTGTGTGTGAAATGTGTGTCATACACATATTTCCGATCCACTGCTTCTTCGTGGAAAACAACTCAATTTGCCTGACTTCTGCAGACGGTCTGAGTGAATGCCTACAACTCTCCTCACTTCTTGTTAATCTAACTGATAGAGCAGTACAAAAATAAACCTCAAAAGTATGGAAAAGGAGTGGAAAAAAAATTCATAAAATTCATAATGATCCAGTTGGCAAAGAATATTTAACCATCAATTTCAGATTCCTTGATCCAAATACGGTCCCTTTTAAGAAACAGTGACTATCAGCCTTTAATACCCCACCTAATAGTTTGGAAGGATGGCACTGTAATTTCATCAAATTCAATTAATTCATTCACAGATATTTATTAAGTATCTCCTGAGACACAGGAATTATGCAGGACAGCTGGAAATGAATGAGAGAAAAAGAGCTGGCCATCAGGCAGGGTCAACATCTAACAAACTGTCACTCCTGTCACCGAAGAGATACTTTATTAAAAGATTTATGGCAAGCCTTATTTCTGCTTACTGCAAAGCCTTACCTCTTAGATTTCTGGGATGAATTTGTTTAGTTCGAGGCATCTTCTTTGACTCAAGAGCTTCTTTATCTTCTTAAAAACTGTAGATAAAGCAAGTCACCAAAAGGTAGCTCCATAAACTCAACATACATCAATTAATCCATGTGCTGAAAAAGAACAAAACAAAGAAGCATATTTTACTACCTTTACAGGAAAAAGATACTCTAAAAGTTATTACCTAGCAGGGCACTAACCTAAACTCAAGAAAAAGTAATCAAGCTGGGCACCACTGCAAAAGATTACTCAGTGACTTTTAATTAAACAGGTCATTTTGTCAATATCTGGGATTTCTCATTAAGAAAATGGAAAAAAAAAATCATATCTTTATCAGGCAAGAATTTAAAAAAACTCACTTTGTTTCAAAATGACAATACCAGGTACAAGTAAAGTATCCCATCAGGCTACAAAAGGATTATGTTATGCATATATAATAAAGCTGCCCATTCATAGGGGCAGGGACAGTGTCTTGTTCATTTTGTTTTAGAGTTAACTCAGTTAATACATGGGGTTGCTATTGTGGCTGCTCCCAGTTATTCCAGACCTCCCTTCTAGGTTCATGGTAGGACCACACTTCCTGCCTCACTGTTGTGAGGAGTTGTAGCTAATGACCTGTGAGTGGATGAGACTTTACTTACAGGCTGGAGCATTTAGTAATCACAGCAAGCTCCTCCACAGCTTGCTCTTCTGTCTCTGCCATGGGATCAGGATGTCAGTGAATCATCTGACACCACCACAAAGTCAAGCTACCGCTAAAACCACAGGATCACACAGCTTGCACAAGAAACACTTTTTTGTTTGCTTAAGTCAGTGAGGTTTGAGAATTATTTGTTACTGCAGCATAACCTAGCCTGTCCTGACTTACACATTTTAAACCACAGTGATCTGAAATACAATAGGCCAAGACAAGAATGATCCAAAACTGAATCACCTATCATGATCCAAAAGGGAATCACCTATCTCCCCAAATCAGCCACTTCAGACTCTTCTGCAAGATTCTCAAGGATCCTAAAGCTGAAATTTTAGTTTAACTTATTGCCAGAAAGCTGATAAGCAAAGCCCATTATGTCACTGCTAAACATGAAACAATGTTTAGTCATTAAGCAAAGACACAAGAATAGTAGTCTTAAAGCTTTTGTTATATGTGGTACCACAGAAGACAAGAGAACACTTTCTGAGGACCTACTATGTGCCTGTGTACTTTCTACACATTCCCTAATTTAATCTTAACAATAACTAAGAGATAGCTATCGTCTATTTATTTTACAAATTAAAGAACACAAATGGGAGGATAAGTAACTTGCCCAAGATCAGCAACTAAAGAATGAGGTACTACATGACTCAGTCACAAACAGTGCTTATTTCTTTTGTGGAGCTGAAATCTACTTTCAGGATTGTTTTCAAAAGGCTGTATTGCACAGCAAGTCATGACTACTTATCTTGGTGCCAAATGAGAGTGGATTCCAGGCCAGGCTTTACTCCTGTGTGGTCTTGTTCAGGTTAATTTCTCTGAAAATCAGATTTCCCAACTGTAAAACTAGGAAATATTACCCACCTCATAAGGAGAACTAAATATTGTAGACGCTTTGCCTCTCACACCTGTCACACAAAAACGCTGCACTATTAAGCATTAGGAAGGAATGTGTCTAACATCCTAGCATAAGGTTTTAGAAATTTATGGTTTCATCATAATAAGAAATAGAAGGTAAATAAGGCGACAATTAACTTCAGTATTTTATCCCTGAGATGGCTGTATGTCAGCTCAGCACAAAATAATTTGCAATTTCTAACTACATGAGAAACAATACAAAAAATATGATGGTCTAACTACGTATTTCAGCTAGCACTGTACTAAGCAATCTATAAAAGATACGGTTCCTCCACTCCCTGCACTAAAGAAACAACCACTATCTGATTCGGGAAGGTTCTGATTCAATAAAGAATTGAGACACATCAGAACCAAATAAACCGTATGATTGCTCAACTCAGTTCCTTGTTAAACTTAAAGCTTTTAAATGGTAACGATATTTGGAAGTTTTTAAAGCGTGAACTCTGACTGTAATCCAATCATGTGATCCCATGAGATCCAGAGCATAAATGTAAAATAGGAACATTCCCAATCCGTAAAGGCTTTCTGCTACCCCGTTCACTGCCTACCCACTGTCCCTAGCTGTCCATCCCATGTTTAAATCCTTGCGGGGGGAATTGGGGATTTCCAAAGACAGCAGCATTGTAGCGACTAGGACGAGTGATAAACCGTTCCTTTAAGGGAAAGAAATAAATACTCCATGGAGCAAAAACATGACACGATCAAAAAGCGTAAAGACAGTTGCAAGGAGAAAAAACATGAATGAATGTGGAGGGCGGAGCCTGGGAAAACCCCTCTGCAACGCTGCACTGAACAAAGCGCTCCGCATGCCAGGAGGAGGGGGAATGGAAGTGCTAGCTCAGGAAGGAGCCTGGAGTGGATGCAGAGAGCACAGGAGGAGGAGGAGGACGAGATGAGGCGAGCGCGGCAGCCGGGAGACTCCTCCTCGCCGCCAGCTCCGCCGCCGCCCCCTCCCCTCTCCAGCCAGCAACTCATTCCCGAGCCCGACCCCGAGGCAAGCCCGAGCCGACCCGCGCCTCAACCCACCGCCCCCTTCCCAACTGCTGCAGGCGCGCACTCCCAACCCGGAAAGAAACTACCCAGGTGGCCGGGAGTAAACAGGCACTTAGAGCAAAGAACGAAAGGGAAAGAAAGCCACAAAGCCTGGAGGTTGGGATGCCGAGGCCTGGTCTC